CCTGGCCCCACCACTTACTAGCTGGGCAACCATAGGCAAGTCACCTCACCTCGTCATGCCTGAATTTGTTCCCCTACAAAATGAAGACAATTAAGCACCTGTTTCATCGGGTTTGCCTGGGGATTAAATGAGTCAGTATGAGTGACAGGCTTGGAATTGCCAGACACATGGTAGGTCGCTGCTCTGACTAGTTCAGTGAAGCAGCCCTTTGTTTGATGTGGTGGGAAATGGAAGCCCCAACTTAAGTGACTTTACCTAAGGTCACTGTCACAGGCTGAGTAACAGCCTCCAGGATATATGTCCGAGTCCAAGTCCCCAGAACCTCTGCCTGTGACCTTATTTGGTGGTAAAAGGGTCTTTGTGGATGTAAGCTGAGGACTTGACAAAGGGATCACCCCAGATTACCCAGGTGGGCCTGAAATCCAATGACAAGTGTTCTTATAAGAGGCGCAGAGGACAAGACATAGGGGAGAAGGCCATAGGAAGATGGAGGCAGAGGTTGGGGCAAAGCAGCCACAAACCAGAGGGACGCCTGGAGCCACAAGAAGCTGGATGAGGTGGGGAAGGTTCTCCCCTGGAGACTGCAGAGGGGGCACAGCCCTGCCGACACCTTGGTCTTGAACTCTGGCCTCCAGAACTGTGGCACTTTGTCACGGTAGCCTCAGGAAACCCACAGTCACACTGTCTGCAGCGCCAGGACCAGGACACTGGCTGCTTGGGACCACATTGGGTGCATTTATATGCAAATAAAAACCAGCTTCAACCCCAGATACCATGGGTTCCGGGGGCAGATTCTGTGATCCCTTTTACAGACAAAGACACTAAGGTGCTCCGTTGTCACTTGTCCCTGTCACATACCCATCCATACGGGTGACTGCTGTCTCCTTCGGGGCACACACGGGCTCATTAGGTTTCCAGCCCCTGCCTGAAAGAGTATTTAATTTGCCTTTTACATTGCACCAATTGCAAGTTAATTAACTGGCAATTGAAAGTTATAGGTGGCATTAGAATTTATTAACATTGGAAATAATCCTGGATTTTGAGTAATTGAAAGTCTCATGAAATTCTCCTTTTTTATAATCCATAAAACAGGTCTGGAAGAGAGGTGTTCCAGAAACCTCGGGGATGCTGGGATTGCAGGTATGAAATAGGGTGGGGAGGTGCATTCTATTCTGACCTAGGTGCCCCACTGCCCACCACCTCAGTCACTGCCTCTAAGGGCCTGGAGAGAAGTCACTCTCCCATTGGGAATGTCAGGTGACTCACAGCAGTGATCAGAGCTGGGTGCTGGAAACACAGATGGGACCCTGCCCACAGGAAGATCATGGCCTAGGGGGAGACTGCACGGTGAGGGCACCTTTTTGATGTGGGGAGATGAGGGCTGGGGACCCCATGGCACCTGGCCCACCTCTGGCTGTGTCCCCAGGCAGGAGACTAGCCCCTGGCCTATTGGAATGCCCAAGAGAAAGCCAGCCTGGACTGCCCAGGGCTTCCGGTCCACTTGCAAGTGTTTGATTCAAGTCGAGCAGTCCCCCGTTGGGGCTATCCCAAGGCAGCAGATGGGCTGTGCATTTCTGCCTAAGGCCCTGATGTGTCCCCAGGTAGAGGCAAAACACCCCCTTAGCCCCAGCTTGACGTCAGCTTCTCTTTGCCTGTGTTGGGAGCAACATTAAAAATATTTTACAACCAGTAGAGCATGGGCACCCACCCATCAGAACAGTTCCTGCTCCTGGAGCTAGAAAGGTATCCTGGATCCTAGGGGGTCTAGAGGAGGGGGTGGGATAAGGGGGGCTCATAGGGAGCTGGAGGCAGTCAGTACGTGGGTTTCAATGTTTTAACAACAGGTTTGACTGCCCTGGTGGGAACCAATGAAGGTCAGCCCCGTCCAAGTCCCTTCAACACTGCAGCCACCACATCGGGACACTTGTTAGAAGTCAGTCAGACAGAGGGGGTCCTGAATTTCTGCTTTGACTGGTGGCTGACTGGGGTATGTCAGGCAGGGGTCCCTGGCTGTGGGCCCCACTCCTCCCCTGCCCAGGAGACCTGAGGCTCAGTTGAGGGGAGGAGTGAGGAAGGGAGGGTCCCACTAGCCACAGAGCATGCCCACCGGCCAGTACGCGGGGCGACAAGGACTTTGGCGGCTCATCATCCTAAGGGAGGGGGCCTGGGAGGGTGGTGTTAGTGAAGGGCTGTGGGCTCCTGTCCCAACCCGTGTGTGAGACCCCACTAGTACGTGGGCACACTTGCATGCACACACAGGTACATGCATAGATGTGCCCACATGTACACATGCTCACGTGTGTGCATGCACACATACTCCCCCCCCACACACACATGTACCAGGGGCCCATCAGCGTTAGAGAAGAAGGGTCGGGTGTGACCTAGACACAGGGTCATAGGAGAGAAGCACGTGCAGGAATCTGGGCCTGGAGAGAGGCCGGGGTGTGCCCCGAAGGTGGCGGGCAGATGAGGAGCCTGCAGACTCAGGGAGGAGACAGAGCCAGCGCCGGCTGGAATGGCTTGGGTGGGGTGAGGGGGTGGCCTGTGCTAACTCTCCCTCATTAACCCCCTGGGTGGCCAGGCAGGTAGGGGCAGGAGTGGGAGCTCAGGATGCCAGAGCCAGAGGGAGGTCTCTTCCCTCACTCTGCTCGGCTGACCCTCGTGAACCCCTTCCTCAGGGACTTACTTGGGTGAGAGGCACAGTTTCAGGCAGAAGGCGGTGGCTGGGCCCTGGATGCCCAGTAATGGCATCCTAGCTGGGGGATATGGGTGACTTGCTTCACCATTCAGAGTCCCTGCTGGGCCTGGGGCTGGTGCTGAAGGGCAGGCTGGAGTTTGCACACATGAGCACAGAGGCATTCATGACGCAGGGCAGAACCAAGGGCCACCGGGGCCCAGCCCATGCTGGTTGCAGGGATCAGAGGAGGTGATGAGGCGATTTTGCCCAAAGCCAAGATCTGTGCTCCCGCTGGGGCTGTATGTGCCTGAAGGCCCCCAGGCCCCCTCTGACTGGCTCTCTCCAGGCACCAGGCGCCACCATGTGGCTGGGGACCAGCGCCCACAGGCAGGAAGAGACGAGGCCAGCCAACGAAAGGCGCTTTGGGCTGGTGCCACGGTGTGTACAGCCAAGAGGACCAGGGCCCAGGGGACAGCACCAGGTTGCAGAGCCCAGGCTTGGGGCCAGGAAGAAGATAGCCACCGCAGATTCAAGAGCAAGGCGGCCATGTTGGCAGGCTTGCATTTCAGAACCATCATCCCATGGGCCAGACGGAGGGGAGGGGCCAGACTGACCACAAGAGCCTGCCAGGGCTGCCCATGCCCGTGGGTCAGTCCCTCGCCCTCCCATGTTCAGGGTCCTCCACGATCTGGTGCCCCGCAGCTGCTTCAGCCTCTGCGGGAATCCCTTCTGTCCCCTACCCAGATCTGCTCTGCTCATCCTCCGCCTCCGGCCTTTGCTCACATGTGCTCATCCTGACAGTGCCACCCCCCCCCCACCCAGTCCCTTGGTTTGAGTGAATTCCACTCTTCTTTGAAGAAGCACAGCAGCTTAGAGAGCAGCCTCCCAAATCCTGTTCTGAAACCCAGCTTCACCCCTGACCTACTATGTGAGGTTGGGCGAGCCACTCATCCTCTCTGGGGCTTATTTGACCTTCCAAAAAACGGGGAGCAGAAGGGAATAAACATGTGCAGCATAGCAGGGAGCCTGGAAAAATCCTTAAGAAGGACCAGCTCATGCCCACCTCCCTGGGAGACCCTGTCCTGCAGCCCCACCCTGAGAGAGCAGGACCTCTGGGGACCCGGCTGCTGCCCTGGTGCCACCCCCACATGCTGCAGACTTTCTGTCCACCTGCTAGTGGGGATGCCTGTCGGAAGGGGGCTCGCTCCAGCACCTCTTCTCCCAGAGGCTCTGGGTGGCCTGGGGGTAGCTGGACATCCAGTCCAGCTCCCCTCCTGGGGGGCTCACTCCAGACTCTGCTAACCCCTCACGGCCTACTCAGACAGTTGCAGGATCCAGAGACAAATGGAGTCATCCCATGTGTCCAAATATTCAAAAGTTGTATGTTGAGCCAGCCAATATCCTTTACAAGGACCTGGAAGGCCAGGTTGCCTTCAGAATTGCGACCTCTCAGAGTGCTATGCTGGAACGCCCTGGCCCTTTGCACCCCCACAGCCCTGCTTCTTCTCTCCTGCGTTGAGGGGCTTTATACGCAGGTATGGACGCCCAGCCCACATGCCTCTGCTCAGTTCTCATTCTCCAAAAACAGCAGCCCTCTGGCCTAAGGGACGTGATCTGCCCTGGAGATATTCAGTGGAGAGGGCCACACAGACCCTGGGCTGGGACCCACAGCACATTTTGGTGTCCTGAGTAAGGTAGGACAGGCTGTCTTAGGGTCTCATCTTTGCCATTGGGTCTGGGAGAAGGAAATGCCTCCTGCCAGCCTCACTAAGGGGGAGAGGGCTTGTCGGACGGCACTGGGTTCCGCGGTAGCTCCAGGTGGTGCACTGCTCCCTGAGGGAGGCTTCACCTGATGAAGGGGGTTGCTCAGGGCGAGGCAGTGCTCCAGAGAGCTGCGAGGGTGGCCTGGAGAAAGCAAAAGCACTCATACCTCTGCTGGCCTATCTGCTCCTTGTGTGTACACTCCACGTACACCCTGTCCACAGCACCCACAGGTATGCTCCGTGCCCGCCCTGCCCGGGGTTACCACGAGCCACCCTCCTTCACGCTGCCAGCCTTTGCTGATGCGCTTCCCTTCGTACAGTGCCCTTTCCCATTTACCAGACAGCGAGTAATCCCTGAAGACCGTTTTCTCCTCCACAGCCCCTCCTCAAGCTCCCGGCAAATCAGCTGGCCCTCCGCTGTGCTGTGCGGCCCCATGGCCTGTCCCTGTCACGTGTGGCCTGTCCTCACATACAGCCACAGCCTCCCTCAGCACCTAGGGGCCACCGTAGCTGGGCTCACCAGGCTGCCGCCACAGGACACCAGACCCACAGTAGGGAGAGCACCTTTATTGTCAGAGCGTTACAGACCCCTGCCCACCTCTGAGCGCCGCTCTGTGAAGACAGGCGGTGGGAGACCTCACCTTAGCCTCCAGACCAGCCCTGCCTCACAAGGGGCAGTCAGGGCCTCCAGAGCATAGAGAGGTCACCCAGGAGCACCGAGGGCGCTGGGGACAGGTTACTCCTGCCATGAGGGGACATGCGCCTGGGTGGTGCCAGCACCTGCGAATCTCTGAGCTTGCAGCTGTCACTGAGACCAGGACCTGGCCCAGCGAGAGGCGCACCAGGTCCAGGTCACAGGGGACTGTCCTGAGAGGCCTTGAGTGGCCTTGAGAGCTGTGGTCTGGGCTGAAGTGATGGCCGCTCCCTCCTCCCGGCTCAGGGGTGGGAGGGGCCTAGTGGGCTGGCCTCAGAGAGACTGGGGGGAGCAGGGGGCGATGCCAATTTGGTTCAAGGGCCTTTCCACCCCAGCATTCTTCTCAGGGTCCCCAAGTCCACATGACTGTCACATATTTAAGCACGGTCTCCCTGGCCTCTGAGGGCAGCTACAGGCCAGGCCACCCTCAACCCATGGAGCAGACCCCGAGCCTGGGGAGGCAGTTGAGGAAGGAGGCCCAGGCACCCCCCTCCTTCCCAGCTGGCTGGTCCAGCCTGCCTGCAGCCCTGTACGTGCCCTGAGCTTCCCCGTGAAGAGCTGGCAGGGTTGAGAGTTAGGAACTGAGAGACCTGGGTTCAAATCTTACCCCAGCCGTCCATGGGCTGGTGGCTTTGGCAGGTTATTTATACTCACCAAACCTCTGTTCCCCCATAAAGTGGGGGTAACAAGCCTACCTCCTAAGGATTAAATGAGACAATGTAGGGAAAACTCCGTGGACAGGCCCAGATATCCCAGGGACTCAGGAAATGATGCGAGCTACAGTTATTCTGGGCCCCACCCTGCCCACCCAGACCCTGTCTCCTGCAGGGAATGGGGGTGGCGGAGGGCAGGGATCAGGGGAGGGCTCTGCCAAGGGTGCTGGGGCCCTCCAGAATCGCCATCTCTCCCTGGGGGCCAGTGTCCCTCACAATTGTCCATGCCCGGAGCCCGGTCCCACTTGGGATGTCTTCAGGAGCCCGTGCTGGCACAGGCCTGGGTCTCTGGCTTGTCCTGGAGAGCCGGCCTCTTACTTCCCGCCACTGGCCCGGCCAGTGCTCCTCTGCCCAGGGTCAGGGCTGAGCAGGGCTGCGAGGGAGCCATCAGGTGGGGGGCCACCCCGCTTCATCTTGAGGTTGGCTCTCAGGGCAGCGTCCTGGCCGGAGCCCCCCTCAGGAGAGGCCAGGGGATCTGAAAGGAGAGCAGGAGGGTGGGCTCACACGGGGCCTCGGGAACACCCCAGGCACTTTGGCTTCCAGTCCCGGGCCAGCGAGGGAAGCCCTGTGCCCGGTGAAGACAGGGCAGAGCAGCAGTGGGCTGTCTACTGCTGGCACGTGCACTCGCCCACTCATCCGGCCACTCCTTCATCAACAAGTGCCAGCCAGGCCTCTGCCCCAGGCCCTGAAGAGGTGCCAGTCGCTACCCTGCTGCAAGAGCCTCCGGTGCCAGGAGAAGACAGGGCAACCCCACCCCTTAAGGAAGCAGAGGAGACAGCTTCACAGAGGAGTTGCTCCTGAAGCAGGTCCTGCAGTGGGCGCTGGTGTTTAGCAGGCAGAGAGACCAGCCTGATAAAGGCATGGTGTGGGGGCCTGGGATGGTAGGTGCTGGCACTGTGTCCCTGAGCCAGGCTATGCTGGGGAGGGACCTGAGAATTGATGTGCCTGGATGTCCGTCATGGGCAGCAAGGAGCCACTGAGGGTCCTTGAGCAGGAAAGGGACAGGGTCAGACTAGAGTGTGGGGAAGCCATCTGACAGCCAAGTGGAGGGGTCACTGAGGCAGGGAGACTAGGGACAGTGGCAGCCATGAGGGCAGTAGGGAGTGGGGAGGCAGGAGCAGGGGACACTCCCACCCTGCTGTCCCCAGGCCCCAGTCACTGCTCACCGTGGATCCCAATCATGTGCTCCAGGATGAGGACTCTCTCCGCCAGGATCTTCAGGGCCTCCCGCAGCTGCTGCACCCCCTCGCCCTGGCAGGGAGGAAGCAGCCAGGGTCAGGGCCTGTGGCAGGGCATCCTCTCAGCCCTCCCTGCTCCCACCTCTTCCCTCCTGCCACCACCATCACTACTACAGCCATCACAGGTTGGACACCCATGCGCCAGGCCTGAGGTTAGAATCCTTGTTTGCAGACAAGGAACCTGAAGTACAGAGGTAGCAACCAGAGTCCTGTGGCCGCACAGCCTGGGAGTGGCTGACCGGGGCTTCACGCCCAGACCTGCCCCTTGTGCCTGGGCCCCTCCTGCACCCACAGCTGCCTGGCTGCTTCCAAGCGCCCTGATGCCTAGCACAGGCCCACAGGTGGGGAGCTCTGCTCGGCTCTCTCCTTTGCGCCTTTGCACCGCCTGCCTGAGGGTTCTCCAGGTGCGGCCACCCCAGCAAGAGGAAGGGAGGGAGGAGCCGCCTACACGCAGGTAAAGGGCCCCTGTGCTGAGACACGTGAATGAGCCGATTTACCAAGAAGACAGGCTGTCAGGGCCACTTTGAAAATAAAAGTGATGTTGAAGGGACGAGGGCCCACCCTGGAGTCGCAGCAGGACTGGAGCCTTTTGCTAGCATAACATGACAGCTCTGCCATGGCAGATTAATCCAGCATAAAACAAAGCAAAAGGAAATTAAAACATTCTACCAGGTTACTGGAGAGACATGCTCCCACCAGGGAGCCAGAGGCCATGAGGAGCCATGCTGAGGGCGGCGTCTGGGGCAGGACTGCCCCAGCGAGGGGCGGGGGCACCAGGTTCCCCTCTGTCAGCTAAGCTCCATGTCCCTGGGCCACAGGATGCACTCTGGTGAAATGGGGAGGGGAAGTCACAAGAGCCCTCGAGGACCCCCACACGGCCTATGAATCTGTGCTGATGCACATCTTCCTCCCCTGGCCCCTGTGCCCATCATGGCTGCCTCGGTTCCAGCCTCCTCTCCCTTCTCCTGTTCTGCAAGGACTCTTCCAGGCTCACTCACTTAATGGCCAGTCAGCCCGCTGAGCTCTGACTTCTGGGGACTTTTATTCTCAGCTTGCAAGGCCTCCCCCACTGGTTCCACACCTCACCACTTTATCCATCACCCTGGTCCCCAGCACCTCCTCCTCCCAAAGGGCAGTGGGTCCCCACAGCCATTCCCATACCCCCTCCTGTCACATCTTGGCTGCCTGCTTCATGGTCCTTCTTCCATCCTTCCCCACACCCACCAGCCGTCTGTCCACCGCCCATAGATCCATGACCCATGGGCACATCCACATGCCAGGCGCTGTTCATGGGAGAATCCTGTCCCGGGAGAGAGACCACAGCCTGCACCCTCTGTAAAGGAGTGCATGTCTTCTGCAGCTCTGGGCTCTTCCTGGCCTCTCTGGCAGGGTCTTCCCATGACAGGGTCACCCTGGGACTTCCCCCGCTGCAGAACCTATAATAACTCATCTGTCTCCACTGGTAGGCTGGGACCCCCATTTGTCCCGTGGTGCAGGGCTGGCTTCAGAGCTGATGGGTGTCAGTACAGATCAGCTGGGCACCTGCTGCCCCTGCTAAGACACAGCCAAGGGGGCAGGAGGGGAGCCTGGGCTGGCAGGATCAGTTACCTCGGTGGCAGCTTTCTCCTCTTCCTGCCCCTTCCCACCAGGCTCGCCCTAGGAAGAGAGCCATGCAGTCAATAACCAGTGTTGAGGGGGGGGCTCCTCTCCACCCTCTCCAATTCTCAGACAGACCGTGGGGGCCTGCAGGGAGTCGGGGTCAGGCCGGGCCTGGGGACAGGGTGCTGGGGCCTCCAGCTTGAGGACTCCTGCCCCAGGGTGAGCAGAGCAGGGGAGGGCCAAGGCCCCGGGCACCACTGTGCAGCCTGCCATGAGGGCTGTCTGGAATTGGCCTTATGGCTTCACTGTGCTTCTGGAGCAGTGAGGTGTCAGGTTTGGAACCCCAGGAGCTCATGTCTCAGCTCTCCCAGGGATCAAGGTCCCCTGCCTCTTAAGGCTTAGCTTCCTTGTCACTACAATGGGACTAGTTAATATCAGCCCCATGATAACACCCATGTGGCCACTCACTCTGTGTGACCTTGAGCAAGTTATTTTGCTCTCCATGCCTCAATGTTCTCATCTGTAATAATAGTGCCTACCTCACAGGACTATTAGGAGGACTAAGCAAATCAATACCGATGATGACTCTGACTGGAGCCTGGTGCTGGAAGTGCTACATAGGGCCCACGTTGCTATTGCTACCAGACAGAAGCTGGGGGTCCTAGGGGTGGGGTAGCTAACACTCCTGGGTTAAATCTTGCTGGCTCTACCATTGCCTAGCTGCGTGACCTTGGGCAAGTCACTTAACCTCTCTGAACCTTGGATACTAATTCTGGCAAATGGGGAAATAAAATTGTGGTCTCTTTGGGTTACTGTGAAGTTTCAGTATACTACGGATGAAGAGTGCCTCCACCATGGCCAGCACATAGTAGGTGCTCAACCAAGATCCAGCCCTCCTTCCTGGGCCCATGTTCCCCAAGTAAGGCTTGGGCATGAAGGAGGAGGTGCCTGCCTCCTTGGCCCTGGAGAGAGGAGCTGAGACTCATAAATTCTTGTTTCCCAGAAGGGAATTAGAGGTCATCTATCTAAGCCTCTACTCTTAGGAGGTTCAGAAAAAGGACTCTGCAGGTCACACAGCATGTTCACCCAGGGGTCCTGGCTTCCTGTAAGGGGCCTGAGGAGCTCATCCAACACCCTCCCCTAGAGGAGCTCTCTCAGGCCTGGCTCATGCTGCCAGGGAGGGGGCCCGACCCCCAAGGTCACCCCTTGTCCACCTGGACAGGAGCCTGCTCTCAGGTTACCCCTTGCCCTCTGCGCTGTACTTGCTGGGAGGACAAGGCCATGTTTAGGGGTCTTGGGCTGAGCTCAGGGTAAGCTGCCCAGGACAGGCCCGGCCACCTGGCACCCTGGGCCCTCACTGGAGCCCAGCACCCTGGGTGGGCTCAGCTCCACAGCCTGCACTTACAGATGGCCCTGTCATGCTCCGCTCTCCAGCCAGGCCCTGCAGAGAACCAAACAGAAGATTAGGCCTTGCCTGCCCACCCAATTCTCCCATTGTCCCTCCCAGTCTGAAAAAGAGGATGGAGAAGGGTCGTGGGGGGGAGGCATGGATGGGAAGGTCTCCTAGCCCTGGAACCACCCTCCACTGGCTCCTCAGGACCCTCAGCTGGGCCTCAGTCTCATCACCTGTGCAATGGGGCAGTGCGAGTGTGGTTATCTCATGGGCACAGGGAATGGAGGGCTGAGCACACGTGCCCTGCTGCAGAGAGAAGGGCCTTCCAAGAGGGCAGGACAGCAATGCAATGGAGAGGGTCCCATGCGTGGGCTCCCATTGGTACCGGGCCTGCAGGAGGGTTCCCCAGACCCCCAGATCTATGTGTCCTGCCGTCCTCAACAAGCTCACCCAGCTGACCAGGATGTGCCCCACTGCACCTCCCCAAATGGAACGCCTGCTTATCCCCACGCTCTGGGGAAATGGCTCCATGGTCCTGCAGCTGCTCCAGCACACTGGGCAGCTAACCCTTTCCCTCACCTGTCCAATTTATTCCATCAGCCAAACCTGTCAGGTCCACTTTGCCACTTCCACCTCCACCCTTCCAATGCAAGTTGCCTGTGCACTGCTGGGGCCTCTCCCTGGTCTCCCCCTTCCACTCCTCCAGTGGCCCAAGGGGCCCTCAAAGATGTCAATCAGATCATGGCCTCTCCCCTCTGAAACCCAGAGGGTTTCTGTCCAAGGTGACAGAAACTCATGCTTCAGTCCTGCAGGCCTTCTCCGCCTCCTTGCACTACACTCCCGTCTGCTTAGCATGTGCCACCTCTTCCTGCCTCAGGGCCTTTGCACTCACTCTTCCCTCTGCCTGGATCACTCTTTCTTGGCTTCTTTGCACAGCTGCTCATTCTGGTCCCTCAAGTCTCGGCTGAAGTGTCTCCTCCTGCCTGTCACTCCCTCCTGCTCAGACCCTGTGCTGTTATCTGCCACATCACCCTATTTGGTTCTTCCAGGACACTTCCTTACTATTGATTGTCTGCCTCCCCCATTAGACTACCAGCTTCCACAGGGCAGCATCCTTTTGTCCTGGTGCAGGTGCCCAGTAATGCATCTGATGCAACTGAGGCCCCAGGACGCATTTTTAAAGAACAGCAGTTATTAAGAGTGCTAAGGGCCTGGCATTTCCCATCTATTAACCCTTTTATTCTTGACAACAAACCCACATAGGGGGGATTTTTATCCTCTTCACAGGTGGAAAACTGAGGCCCAGGGCAGCCAATGACTTGCTAAGGGTCGCCCAGCTGGAAACTGGCAGAGCTGGGCTTCAAACTCAGGTATGTCTGTCCCACTTAGAGGAAGCTGGTGGCTGTTCTGATATTATCAATATTTGGACTAACCTTGGAACCTAACCTCATCCCTGCAGTGGAGGGGCCTGGGCAGGCCCTGGCAGAGTGAGTCCCTGAAGGGTTCTTCCAATGGGGCCTGTCCACTGGGAAGTCTGGTGCCCTCTGGCATCCCAAACCTGGCCGTAGGCCCCCAGCCTTACAGGAGGAATGCAGCAAGGAGGCCAGGGGCCACTATGATAGCAGCCTCAATACCTAGGGTCTTGCTTAGGGTCTTATCCCCTCACTGATGCCCAGATACACCTCTCAAGGGGCTCGACAAGAGCCTCTGATTTGGTCCCTTTAACTTGGGTCCCTCCATCCCTCACCACTCTCCTGTCTAGGTCACTGTCATTCTGTTTCTGCCTCTCTGGTGCTGTGGCTGGCAGCCCAAGGGGCCAGGAGAGTGCCCCAAGTGCTTGTCTCTGGGAGGCCTGGACCCTCCACCTGACTCAGGAACTGATCAGGCTGAGGGACCCCCTGCCTTACAGCCCCAGCCACCCAGGCCTGCTCGCTGGCCTGGTCTGCACCACACCCACCCTTGATCTGCCTGTGCTGTGCGCAGCCCAACCCGCTCAGAGCTCCCATCTGGCCGTCCCCACCACCTGTGCACCGCACCCTCCATGCTGGTGTGAATACACACAGGGGGTCACCAGGGAGCATGTGAGGAGCTATGGGACACTGGCTCTTCGACATCTAAAATGTAAGCTCTAGAGGGCTGACCTCTGGTCCCTGGTTGCAGCTGGATCCTCAGCTGATGAGGCTGATGCCCTCTCAAGGTTTGGGGACTATATGTCAAGTAACTGAAGGGATGAATGAGAGTATGGGACTCCTGAGGTCCCAGCCCCCACAGATACATGACTCACTGCATGGGGGCCACCTCTAAGCCACCCCACCCCACTAGAGCCTAAGCTCCAGGGACAGTGGAGCCCTCGGTCTGGGCCAGACCCAGGATGGGGGCTGCTGGAAGCCCGATGCACAAGACATCCCCAGACACTACCCTTTCTACCTCTTCAGGGTGTTCTGGGGCCCCTCCTTTTTGGTGTAATTTTCCTCCCAGACCCCTGGGTCCTGCAGCTAAAGGTACCTCCCACCTTGCACCTTATTTTTCTTTTGTTCCCTCTAACAACCCCAAAGGGAGGCCCTGGATTCCCATCTCAGCAGCCAAGAAAAAGAGAGCCCAGAGAGGCTGCCTTTCTACCCAATTTCACATAGCTGGAGTGGCAAAGCAACCTGGGGTTTGGAGCCACCCAGGCAGGTTTTGGGGTGCCCTCACACACACAGGTGGCTCTTGGGGAGGAGGAGCGACAGGCTGGGGTGGACATTCTGTGATCCTAGACCAGCTCCACCATACTCTGTTCAAACTCAGGGCAGCACTAGTCTCTCTGGGTCTCAGTTAGTGCATCTGTGAAATAGGAATGATGCTGATACCTCCTTCATGCTGCCGATAAAACCAGGATCCCACACCCACCTTCCCCTGGGTCCTGCCTGGCCTAGTTGGGGAAGTGCTGATAGGAAACCTGACTCTTCCATTCCCAGGTAGACAACACCTCCTCCCCTGCCAGAAATGGGAAAGTCCTTACCTGGGATCCAGATACACCTGGAGGTCCTGGGGGACCATGTGGTCCGGGAGGACCTGTTGGCAGAGTCACAGAGGTGGTTACCTGGGGCCAGAGAAGCTCACTGTCCCCATCAGCTCTGGAGAGGAACTTTCCCGCCTCTCACCCCGTGTCTGTCTCCTTGGGCAGAAATGAAGGTTTGTGGATGAGCAGTGGGGGAAGCGCCCTGGCACTCCGCTGGCCCAGCAGCCCACCCTCAGAGCAGAGACCCCACCGTCACCTCTCCTTGCAGCCCCAACACTGAAGCCTGCTTTTCTTCCCATGGCCTCACCCATGGGGCCACCCTGCACCCCCTCACCAGCCAGCCAGTCCCTGGCAAATCTCTCTTGAGTCTGCCCTTCCCAGGGACCTCGAGCTCTACCCCTCCAAGGCCATCCTTCTTACCTACAACAGCTTCCTGACCATCCACCCTCCATGTGGCCACCCAGAATGACTCTTCTGTTAAGTCCCTCTCAGGGCCCCTGAAGTCCTCAGCTCTTCCCCCCTCCTACCCCCTTCTGGAAAGTTTCTCTGCTTCTGCGCCTTTGCCAATGCTGTTCTTTCCTCCTGGAGCTTCTCCATCCCCTCCATATCCCAGCAAACTCCTTTCCATCTTTCTTACTAGTCTCAGGCTGAGCATCACCTCCTCCAGGAAGCCCTCATGGCCTTTACCACCCACCTCCTCTAGGTAAATTCCCGACATGGACTAGCTGCCACCCATGGTTGCTCTCGGTTTACATGGTTGTTTCCCCCATGGGCCAGGCAGTACCCAGAAGGTCAGGCTGGGTTTGACATGGACAGCATGGGGAGCCGTGTCCATGACTGAATTCCCCACAGCTTGCAAGAGTGAGGCCAGCACAAGCCTGTGCCTCCCAGGCTGCAGGGATCCCCTGGCTGGGCCACACGAGGTACCTCCACCCCACCCTTGGGGAGGACCTGCTGGCAGCCACACTCCAGGGTGGTGCAGATCTGGACTGTCCAGTTAGAAAGCACCCTCCCACCAGTCAGAGCAAATCACCCAAGGTGCCCAGATACCCTCTGAGCTCACCCTCTCCCCGCCTTGGCATTTGCTCAAATGTCACCTTTTAAATGAGGCCAAGAACCTGGAACACTAGCCAAAGTGTAGGAAGTCTCAATGAGTATTTGTTGAACATGTGAAAGTCAGTGAACGACAGGTAATATCACCCATACAGAGCTGGCAAGGCGGCAGGCTGGCCCCGGCCTCCCCCTTCCCTCCCCTCCAGTGATGGGCCCTGGAGGGCAGGGGTCAGGCCAGGCCCAGGGGATCCAGCCCTGTCAAGCCCCTGGACCATCCCCTTGCCCAGGGCCTCCTGCCTCTCACAGGGGCCTGCTCTCCTGCTCCCTGAGCCACCTGTGCTAACCCGGTGGCTACCCCGGGCCCAGGCCTCTCCCTGCTCTGGTGCCTCCCCAACTCCGGCCCACCCAAGGGCAGCCCTGAGGTGCTTCACGTGGGCAGCAGGCCTTGTTCTGGCAGAAACATTTGTGGTTACCATGTCTAGTCCCACAGGGAAGCTGCCACCCAGAAGTGAGGGGCCTCACCTCAGGCCACCCAGCAGGGCAGGGCAGTCCCAGCCTCCAGCACCCTGCCAAGGCCATAGGCCCCCACCATACCCCACGAGGTCCCTTGGCACAGGCCAGGCCCAGGAGGGGGCACCCAATCCAGGCTAGCCTGTGCCATGCCCTTGTACCTACCTGGAGGGCCAGGGGGGCCTCGGGGCCCTGGGACACCTGCCAGCACTGTGTCCACAGCAGCAGAGGCCAGGTGCTCATCTCCAGCTGCAGGAAGAGCAGAACAGCCCGTGACCTGGTGGGGCAGGGCCAGCAGAGCAATGGGGGCTGGACCTCAGGTCCCCAGAGCCAGGACAGGCACCCCCTGACCCACTGGGCCTCAGAATAACCCTGGCAACAGATGCTATTGCTCCCACTGCTCAGAAGAGTACAGAGGCCAGGTAAAAGGGCAGAGAATGCTGGAGCTTCACATAAAGCATAAACTCCTTCCTGAACATTCCAGGCCCTTCAGACTCCGGCCCTTCCCTACTCACCTTCCTACTGCCCTAGGCTGGCACTTTCTTCCCTGCTCCATTCCACGTGCCTGTCCTGACTGGCTCACTCCTGTGATGCCTCCTCCAGGAAGCCCTCTCTGCCAACTCCTCTGAGCTGCTGGGCTCTGGTCTGCCTCCATCAGGACCATCACTGTCCAGTGTGGGGTGGGGTCTGTCTAATGGTCCAGCTTTCATGACCCTGTATGACTTCACCCTGCCCCATCCCCAGGCACAGACCTAGAGCAGCCAGGCCCAGGAAATGGGTGGCTACCTCTGCCCCTCCCTCGACACATGGGAGCTGGACCACCCTTCCAGAGGCCTCACAATGGGACTCAGTCCCTGCCAGCTGGGATGTCACCCACTGTGCCTCTCTTGTCAGATTTTAAAGTCAGCCTGGTCACCTGCACCTTCCCTGGTTTCCCAGGGTGCTTAGCAAAAACAGCACCCCTCAGAGGGGAAGTGGGAGGGCAGAAGGGATGTCTCTGTGCTCAGAGGTGCCCTCTTGCCCTAGATGGTGGCCCCAGGAGTGTTTAGCTGTTTAGTTCATTGCTGCAATCCCTGTGACAAAAACCATGTGTGCAACACATAGTAGGTGCTCAACCAGCACTTGTCCAGTGAGCTGCAGTGAGGGGATTTGTGAGGAGGAGATGCCATATGGATGAACTTGGTGGTACTGCCATCACCAAGGACAGGCCACTCTGGGGCCAAGAGTAGGTTGGGGGCCAGCATCAGCCCCCCAAGGGCTTCCTCTGTCCCACCCGGCAGAGCCCTGCTCCCAAGCCAATGCCCCACTCGCTGACGGTCCCAGAGGACAGTGAGGCTCAGGCCGCCCACCCACCCCGGCCCTCAGGCGCGGCACTCACTGTCCGTGTCCGTAGGTGGCTGCAGGGAGTAGAGGGCACCTTGTGGGCTGTTTGGAGGAAGGCCCGGGTTGCCTGCTGGGCCAGGGGGACCAGGGGGGCCGGGGCGCCCCATCTCTCCAGGAAGTCCGCGGGGCCCTGATGGCCCCAACAGGCCTGCAGTGGGGAGAGGAGGAGCCACATGAGGGCCGGGCCCTGAGACTGACAATACAGACGGGAAACGGGCCAGAAGGTTGGTGAGGTCAGTCGTGGCCTCTGAACCAGTCTCCCTGCAAGGCTGTCTTGGCATGTAAGTGACTGGCTTCCCCTTCCTGGCCTGGTGCAGAGGGCACATCAGGACTGCTGCTGGGAGGTGAGGGAGGCAGGGTCAGCAGAGTCAGAGAAGGCTCTGGACGGGGCTCTGCAGCCCGCCTCCTCTAGGGACCTTAGCTCTTGGGTAGGGGCACTGAGGGTGGTGGCCAGCCTGAGTCAACCCTGTTTCTCCCCTGCAGGATGGAGGAGAAGTTGGGGGACTCTCTGGAGGTATCATTAAATGGCTAAGAACAGCCCCTAATTCCCCTCAGCCCCATCCCCAAGCCTGTACCCACAGGTCCCAGGACCTTCTCTTCTTTCTACCCAGGCTGAGCCCAGGCCCTAAAGTGCATAGGATGGGGCGTTAGTGGGGGTGCTGGCAGGAAAGTGAGCCTGGATCCCCCCATGATGGCAGTCACTCACCCCAGCAAGATCAGAGGTATATGGGACGCCTTGCCTGCCCAGGCAGGGGAGAAAGCCCAGTCCCCTCCCTCAGGGGCCAAAGACAGGTTGGGGGTGGTCCTTACCGGGAGGCCCTGCCGGGCCCTTCTCCCCTGTCTGGCCCGGGTCACCTTTGGAGCCTGGGGGACCTGCAGGTCCTGGTGGTCCCGTCTGCCCCGGGGGCCCTGGGGAGAGAACGGCACTAGGCCTGAGAACACTGTGTGCTGAGCTGCCACTGCTGGCTCCAGGCCTGGCCACCTGGGCTGTCCGATCAGACCTGCCCCCAGAAGCAGAGACCACTGTCAGCTCGCCTCAGTCGTTATGGTTTGCAAACCCTTTTTGTGCCTATTCTACAGTCTCAAGACTTACTCTTGTTCACACCTGACAGGTGAGGAAACTGAGGCTCAGAAAGGTGTGGTCTCTTGCTCAAGGTGGCAGAGCCAGGCTGCCGGTGAGTCAGGCCCCTCTCTCCACATCCTGCTGTGTCCCTGCTCAGGATTGGGGACTGGCCTCCCCAATAAGGCCTCCTCAGAGACCTCAGGAAACCCTGATGGACACACCTGCTCAGCTCTGGGGTATCCAGGTCTCAGGGGTTAGTGAGAGTAGATGGGGAGGCCCTCTGTGTGGCCCGGGGACAGTCCCTTCTCCCCCTGGAATGTCTGGAGAGGATGCTCAGAAACGCTTGCTGAGCTGATGGAGGGGACCTGCCCTGGCTCCGCGGGCCCTTGTGCTCTAACTGTGACTGTGACTGTGGTCTGGAGGAAGGGCTTGACACGCTGCTGGTTTCTGAAAGTTCCCACGGGCTCTCAGGAATTCCAGGGCTCGCCTGGTTATCATCATTTGTAGGGGTTGTGCCCCACTTGGTGGCCATTTCTTGGAACTGCACTTTCACTGGTGTGAAGGATCGCCCAGGAGCCCAGGAGCCCAGGAGCCCCGGGGCCTGGTATAGTCGTCTTCCCGGGGATGAGAAGTCCCCTTTCTCCCCAGCTCCAGAAGAACGATGTGAAGAAGGGAGGCACGGGGCAGCCTCCTGGGTGTGAGACCTCGGAGACGGTGGCTAGAGGGGTGAGCCAGGGGGTACAGGGTGAGATGGCCTCCAATTCCAGAGCCAGCCTCAGCTCACCCCTCTTCCCACAGCCTCCAGACTCTTCAGAAGAGTACAGAATATCTGCTCCTCTTCCAGCCCCAAGACTGGCCACTGGAGGCCAAATCCTACTGCTTGGGGACCAGATGTCCCCACTCCATCTCCCCACTGGGCAGGCGCATAACAGAAACAGGGCAGGAGGCAGGGGAGGGAGTCTGGCATGTATGTACTCAGCACTGAGTCTGGGCAGGGACGACAAGAAGCTGAGAGCTCAACTGGGAGAGTGGAGAGGGAGGCAGGGCGTCACCTGCAAAGGGCTGAGAATCATGGAGACAAAGTGCCCCCAGTCACTAGGGGACCCCAGGGGTCACTTCTCTGAGTCTCAGTTTTCTCCTCTGTAGCCCCAAACCTTACAAGCTTACTGGAATGATTAGAAATTATATCTTTACAGGCTGGTGTGATAGAAAGATATATAATAACACATAGCACAGACAGAAGGGACACCAGCCTTAAACCCGAGTTTAACCATATTGACATGCCAGCTAAATGTCTGCCCAGGGGACAGCCCCAGAACAGTGCCTGGCACAAGGCAGGCATTCAATAATCCCAACTACCATTATTACAATTATTTTTACTGTTCTACGATCCCAGAGGGCAGAACCCAACGGACAGAGATGCAGAGTGAAGATGCTTAGCCCTGACTTTAAAATGTGGCAGGAAGACAGAAAACAATTGGATGGCAGATGCCCTCCAGCTCTGGTCAGAGAGGTCAGTGAGGAGCCCGCTGAAGGTGGCAGGAGGCAGCAAGCTTCCTGTAAAATCGAGCCAGATAAGGCTGGGCTGGGGGCCAAAGTGTCAATGCTAAGGGGAAGCAGGGTAGTGGGGACAGTAGCTGTACTGTAATACAGTAAGGAATGGTGAGGACTGCAGCAAACCGCACAGGCTGGACAGGGTCTGCAGGGCCAGCTGTGACTTGGCTGCGGCTGATTGTTCTAGGAGGGACTTGCAGGCCCACAGACACATCTTCCATTAAGAGAAGATAGAAATCCTGATTTTCATGTGAAATTACTAAATTATTAAAAAGTAATTTCAAGTTTTTAAATGTTAGCTCAATTTTTCAAAGTTAAAAAGTAATTTTCAAGTTTTTAAATGTTAGCTCAATTTTTCAAAGTGCCATGTGGATGTATTTGATCCAGAGGGTCTATTGTGTGACCTACTTGTTGGGGCCCTGGGAGGCCATGCCCGGCCTCTTGGCTGACCTGAGCCCTCCCTTCCAGGCCCCACTCACCAGCTGGGCCTGTGGGCCTCCTTCGGGAACCCGGGTGGGCTAGAGGAATGGCATCAGGAAGGAAGTCCTCGTTCCAGGGTGGCAGGGTGCTCTGGGGGGTCGGCAGGTCATTGTCTGGGCCTGAAGACTGCTCTGCTGCTTCCAACAGGAGAATCTGGGTCAGAGGGGCAGAGGGTCAGAACCCAAGCCAGGCCAGGGGCGTGTGAGCCAGCTGCCTGCTGCTCCTGGGTATAAACGATCACGTCTCTCAGGGACCATGGTGCCCCTTGCTAGAATGTCCTCCCGGCCCTGCCCACTCTCCTTCCCGTTTCGTGGGAACCCTCCTGGACCTGGGGCTCAGGCAGATCTCCATCAGGCGCTTTCAGAGTCCCTGAACTTCCCTCCGAGAGCAGCCTCCACTGGGATTACCTCTGTGGTTCTTCAAACAGTGACCACAGTCACCCCGACTCCACGGGCTGCTCCCAAGGGAGGGACTGGGTGCACTTGTGCCCCACACTGCCTGGTTCAGGGCACAAACAACGTGGTCTGGGAATGCTTGTGGATGACTGGATGGAAGGAAGGACAGAAGGAGGGAAGAAAGAGCATAGTGGGCTCAGCTTGGTGCATGATTTTTAGCAGGAGTTCCGAAAAGCGTAAGGTGGCCATGGTTACTCAGGGCCAGCTTTAAAAGCAGCCCTGTTCTCTCCTCTTGAGGGAGGCAGAGGTCAAAGACCAGGAAGACTCAGGGCCTGGGCGGAGAGGCTGTCTCCCTAATTAGGTGAACTAGGAGCCAGGCCCCATAGGCCCCAGCAAGTCCCTGCCTCCACCAGAGAGGCCAGCAGGGGGCGCTGTGCACCAGGGGTCTGCTCAGGGCAGGCCAGCAGGTGCTGAGAACCTCAGTAGGCCCACGTGGGCGGAGGGGCCCTCGGGCCGGGTCCGATGGAGCCCGGCTTCCCGCGCTAGCCTCCTGTGCCCCTGGCCTTAGAGCTCAGTCTGCCGATGGGAAGGAGGAACCTGGGTCTCAGGGTCCTTCCAGCTCTTGAGAGTCAGAATCCTGCATCCTGTGAAATTACAGGCTCTCCTCACCCCCATTCCCAGGAGGGTGGGGGCCTGTGTGTTTGGCCTTGCCCAGTGCCGCCCGACCTGCCTGCGCAGCCCCCAAGGTGTCTCCTGCAGCAGCTGGCCGCCTGCCCCACCTCCACCTGCCCCACCCCTCCTGGAGCCTCCCTTACAGCAGTGGGGCGAGGACCTTACGCAAAGCCAACATGCCGAGCCTCCACCTCAAGCTGCAGCATCCCCAGTGTCCCAACACTTCATACACAGATGCCCTGTCCCTCCTGGGCCTCGCCTGCATTTCCTCCTCCCCGCTCTGCTCCAGCCACTCTGAACTTGCGCAGCACTGAAGCCCTCGATCTTGCAGGGCCCTCACCAGCCCCACCTTCCCTCCTGAGCCCTGGGAAGGTCCTGAGACTCCAGCGAACTGTCCCCTCTCCCCTGCAGTCTGCCAGACCTTCTGGGCAGCAGGGGGCCATTCCCTCCTCTTCTGCTGCATCCGCTCTGTGTGCCAACAGCCAGTGGGGGAACCATCAGCCCTGCCCTGGGGAGTAGCCACCTCCTTGCTCTTGGTACCCAAAGCCCAGCACAGGTTAAGTTGCACCCACGCCCCAAGTCTCAGATCTCCACCTGTGTTTAGCAGATGGGCTGCAGACCTGTGAGGTTCCGGTGACCCCTGAGCCACTTCTCTAAGCCCCTCCCCTTTCTGGTCTTTAAAAGGGCCCATAAGGTGGAAGAGCCACTGTAGCCACATCCCAGGTGAGGTGGAAAGAGAAGCTCAGAGACTGCAAGTGATTTGCCCAAGGTCTCCCAGCAAGTAGACAGTGGGGCCAGGACCCCGTGCGATGCCCCGCCCTCCTCCCCACAGCTCAGCCACGGCCTTTAGCCCCAGTGGAGAGAAGGGCAGCAGCTGGCTCAGATCTCATATCAGCTGGGGGTAGAACCAGACCTCCTGACCCCCAGAGTCCCCTTGAGGAGGGGAGGGTTATGATTCCTTCCATAACCACTGAGTGTCTGCTGGGAATCTCACTGGCCATGGCCAAGGTTAGGGGCCCTGGGGCAGTAGGTGTGAGGACAGGGATGAGGAGAACTATCAGGTCCTGGTGCCCCCAGGCTTGGGAGCAGGAGGGTTTGGTGAAGCTGATCCTGGCCTAGCTTCAGGGAATGTGGGATTGCCACCCGAACAACGAGGTGTTGTTTGTGGGTGAGAGAGGGCAGTTTGTGGGCAAAGGTGACCAGTACAGAGGAGGAGGTTGAGTTGCAGAGTCCTGGGGAGACGGCCAGATGGACATATTAAACAGGGAGAAGTCAGGAGCAACAGGGGCATGGGGCAGCTTGTAGGGATTAGGGGAGGGGCGCCAGTCCCGGGCTCCCGGGGTCAGGGCCAAGTGTTCTTTCATGGTAGGGCACCAGGCTCCCCTTTGGGGACCTGCAACCTGCAGCCTTGCCCCGGCTTAAAATGCTTGGCTCACTTCCTCCTGGGGCACCTCCCCCACAGACCCCAAGGCCTCCAGCCCACGGACCCAGGCAGAGGCGCCCTGGACACAGCCAAGTTAGCATCAGCCCCGGCCTGATGCCAAACCCTCTTGGCTCAGCCAAGGCCAACCTCAGGAGAAACTGATCCCATCCCTGCAGGGTATGAGCTCACCAGGGCGGGCAGCAGTGGGTGTGGAGACTCAGCCCAAGGAAACCAGACAACCACCAGCCTTTGAGGGCAGTGGACCTGATGATGTCACTGCAGCCAGGATGAGTGGCCAGGACACCACCCACCTGCACCAGAAGCCAGACAAACTCTGGGGCTTCCATGACCCCCAAGCAGGAAAATTCCCTCTGGCTCCCTCCCACTCCATGAGGTCTCTGAAGTCCCAGAGTGTAAATCGAGGGGAGGGGAGGAAGGAGAGGTTTTCCTGATGGCCTTCTGCACCCCCATTCCCCAACAGCCATTCCAGCCTGTCCCAGGAAAAGGGGGTGCCAAGAATCCTAGATCAACTCCAAGATCTGGATCCTTTGGCAACTCAGGCAACCGCAGGGAGTGAAGATAAAGTACACCCTGATGGCTGCCTGGCCCCTGACCACCCCCTTATCCCTGGCACCAGAACCCCCTAATTGGGTACCTGTGGGAATGCCCTAGAGGAGGAATCTTGATTAGCCAGTTACTCATTTTCCCAGCTCCCTTGCAACCAGGAGGTGGACACAGAACCCACTGCTAGCCAATGAAACATAATGAGTCTGTTGGGGTGCTTTATCTCACCTTCTACTTACTGCCATTGAACAAGGTATAGGGAGATGATGTCCTGAGCAGCAGCAGCCATTTTGTAACCAGGAGTCACTGACCATGAGGACCAAAGCCAATACATTAAGAAGGTGGTGGGAAGGCTGTGAAGAGCCTGGTTTCTTGAACCACCAAAACCAATCCTGAAACCACTGGACTTCTTGTTGAACAAACAATAAATGCCCTTAAGGAATAAGCCATCATTGGCTAGGTTTCTATTACTTGCTGTGGAATGAAGCCAGTTTCCAGGCCTCTGGACTGCTGCTGCTTATGCCAGCTGTCTGGTTTCTGACTCCCTGCCTGGGGTCTGCCTTCCTGGCTCTGCCTTCACCCGCCTGACCCTTGCTGCTGACCCCAGCCATATTTTCTCTGACCACTGCAGCCCCACCTAGCCTTGGCACTGCCCCTGGGACTACAGGGTTGTCCTGGCAGCTAGCCCAGCTTGTTCCCTGACCTCTCCAGGTTGCTGCTCCTCAGGGCCCTCTGACCTGGGCTGACAGAACTCCTAGGGACCCTGTTCCTCCAGAGGACACTTGGGCATGAAGCAGGCATGTGGATAGTGGGAAGTGACCCAGATAAGACCCAGGAGCTGGGTCTCCCATTCCCTATGTCCCCTACCTCGGAGTCTAGAAGGAGGGCAGAGGCAGCCACATCTCTGCTTACCCCACACTCAAGCAACCTGCACCCTCCCACCCAAGAACCACCTGAGCTCACCCCCCAGAACAACCCGGTGAGGCGCAGGGAATGAGTCCTTCAGTTTCCGTTTCACAGGCAGAGGCCCAGCCGAGATGGGCCTGCCAAGGCAGAGCGATTGCTGGGACGGGCCTCCTAGGCTTGGCTCCCCCAGCACATCCCGCTGTCCCTAACCACACCCTGTCCCTGCAGCTCTGCAGGGGAGTCACCACTCTCGCCCTCTGGGCCAGAGAGCAAACCCTGCCCCAGCCCGCTCCCTGGGCAGATGGAGGTGGCAGGGTGGGAGGACCCGGGAGGAGCTGTCCCTGGTGGGAGGGCATGGGCGAGGGCCAGGTGGGCGGAGGACAGCTGGCATTGTAGCATTCTCCCCTGAGGGCTGGAACTTTTAACACCCGAGGTGCTGGGCTGGAGCCAGGGCAGGATTTCAGCCGGTGCTCTGCCAAAGCACGCGGAGGCTTCAGGTGCCTGAGAAACGTCCGTCAGGCCAGCTGGCCTGAGTACCCTGTCTTTTCTAAAATCTTGGATACCAGAAATTCACCCCATCATCTTGCCCAGCACACTCCATCCCTCCCAGGGCTGCCCAGCCCCAGCTCGGTCCACCTGGCGGCACCTACTCCCTGAAGCCTTCCACCCCACCCCCACCCCCACTGAGCCATTGACCCCCAAGGGGGCACAGAGTCCCCAGCCCCCAGGTTGTGCTCAGGAGCCTGTGCTGCTGGGGGACCCTCCCACCCACAAAAGGGCTTGGGGACAAGGGAGGCCATTCATGCCCTGGGCTTCTCAAGCTCCACTCTGCACAGGTGTCTCCCCATCTCTAAGATGGGGACAGCAACATGGTACCAATGAGAACAGACCCTCTTCCTGTCCAGCACTTGACCATCTCCAAAGCCAGTTGCAGCCCTGCAAGGTTGGTACATTCCATTCCACAGGTGAGGAGGTGGGAGCTCCATAGGATTCACCCAGATGCAGGGGGCAGCGGAGTCCCCACTTACATCTGACTCTAAGTGACAGTCACCAACAGCTCCTGTCCTACTGGGCAGGTGCCCTCATGGCCAGGCTTTCGGGGCTGGAGGCAGGATTCAAGGTTGATTCAGGGTTGGCGAGGGCTGTGTGTGTGTGTGTGTGTGTGTGTGTGTGTGCGCGCCTGTGTGTCTGTTTGTGTCCTGGTATGTGTATGTTGTGTGTGTGTGCCCATGTGTGTTCGGGTGTGTGTGTCTGCAGGGAGGACCCCTGCCTCTTGGAAGGAGGAGCCAGAGGCGGGGCAGCAACCCTGGGCTGGGGGTGGTCAGTGCCTTTCCTCTTTCCACCAAAGGGTCAACCTCCAGGAGTCCTGCCTCCCAGCCACTGAGGCCCACACCCAGACCAGCTCACTATCTGGGATCTTCAGATCTCTTGTTCTCCCCACTCCCCTTTTCCAACCCAAGAGGCTGGCCCAGCCCAGAGAAGGCCACCAAGAGCCACCAAGGCCCCAGCAGCAGTCATCCCCCAGGACCAGGCTGCTCAGGCCTACTGGGCTCCCTGGGCTGGGGTTTCCCCACCGACCCCTGATGCACAACCCCTTACGCCACCCCACCTCCACTAGCTCCCTAGGCCAGGCTCCCTAGGCCATCTGACCTTGGCCTCCAGCGTGGTCAGCCTCTCACTCATGTCGCTGAGCCGGGTACAGTTCATGCATTCTGAAAGAGAAGGATGGGAGTGGAATGTAGATCCTGGGGAGAGAGCAGCCAAGCCACCAGGATAGCCTCTGGGCAGGCAGGCAATGAAATCTCTGATCTGTTTGCCTGAAAAACTCCTATCCATTCTTCAGGGCCTTATTTTCAGTGCCCTGTCTTCCATGCAGCCTGCTTGACCTCTTAGCTTCCTCTCTGAGCACCCACAGCACATTGTCCTGTCCATTTATTCAGCAAAGTGCCTGAGCTAGCACTGGGCCAGCACGGGGATGGCTTGTCAGCCTGTGAAGACCATGAGGGCAGAGTCTTTGCCTATTTTGTTTGCCCAGAAATCTCAGTGCCTAGCACAAAGGAGGAGCTCCAAAAATATCTGATAGTCCCTGATGGATGGTAAATGAAGTAAGGACACCAAAAGCCTGTCTGGAGTAGAGGAGGTGGTAATCAGGGAGGACATCCTGGAGGCAGTGGTATCTAAGATGAGGCTTGAGGGATTGGCCAGGTGAGGAAGACGGGAGAGGCCAGGTTCAGCAGAGGGAAGAGAGCTGAGGCCTGGAACAAAGCAAGAACAGAAAGAGTCTGCCAGCAGCGTGGTTGAATAAAGCACACCTGGGGCCACCCAGCCTGGCACGGGCTGGGTGCTAACACAGGAGGCCTGCCAGGTGGAGCTTTGGCAGTGTCCTGAGGCCAATGGGCAGCTGTCAGAGTGGGTGAAAGTCAAGGTCACATTTGCATGTTAGAAAGTGCGCTCTGGCAGCAGAGTGTACAGTGGGCCGGGCCTGGAAGCCAGAGGGCCCATCAGGAGAACAATAACGGTCAACCCCCCAGGCATACGTGTCCCTGAGTTGTAATTATCTATTTATGTCTGTATGCCCCAGAGACCAGAGCTCTTTAATGAGGAAATAGATGGTTCAAAGCTGTTCTAAACAGTTTTTATTGCTCCAGAAGTCAAGGGACACCTAAATTCCTCAGTCAGTTCAAAGCCTGGCCTTACAGAAACCCCATTCTGGCTAAACAGACACACAGGCACGGGAGAGGATAAGGATGACTCAGTGGGTCCCATGTGGTGTGCTTGGGTCCATTGGAGACCTCCTGGCCTGAATGTTCCTCAGCAGAGCCCATTGCCCAACCCGCCCCCAACCTCCCCCATCCTTGGAGAAGCCCAGTCTTGGTTACTGGATGCAAATCACCTCATTAATGTCCCTGTTCCTAAGGTAGCGATTGCTCTTTGAGAGATGTAGGGGGGCTGCCGGAGATCTTCAGGCTCTGGGGATAGGTGGTGCAGGCTGTGTCCTCCCCAGGGCCTTGGGCCAAGGGGCTGACAAAGGTCTTCTGCTCACCAGCCCTACTTGAAGTTTACAAGACATCTTTTGTGGGCTGTCAGAGGCCCCACTTGCCCTCTTCCCTCACCCCTGCTCTGTGGAGCCCAAGCAGTGGTTTATAAGCATGTTTTAGGAACAGAACTCTTTTTCCCCTCAATAAAACCTTGTCAGTAACCCTGATACATAAAACAGATTAAAGACTGAAGTATAAACACTGAAACTTTAAAACAACTAGAAGAATGTATACAGTTGTCTGACTCTGGGACGGGGCAGGGCTTCACGAAGGACCGGTGGGAGGGGGGGGAAGGGGTTCTGGTTACACAGGGGATTGAACTACGCTGCGTTTCCCCCAGCTCCTCCCAGAAAAGGGATGGTAAAGAAAGAACAGGTATAGACCACAAAGCAAAGAGAAGGACAGAGGCGAATTCTCAAAGGGCAAGCGTGGCCAGCAAATGAACCGCAGCCTCAAAAAAATGGAGGAGAGGAGAGCCTCCAGGCTGCCCTGAGGCTGCGACGGCCCCAGGCGGGAGGGTTGAGGGGTCATCTCTGCGGACAGGGACACACCTGAGGGGAAAAGGCCCACAGGTGCTGATGTCTGTGGTGGCCCTTATGAAATGGCTGTGTCTCCAAAGGTCCCCAGTCAACAAGGTCAAACTACCAGAGGACTTTTAGTGGCTCCCCAGGACTCCTGGGCCTTTGAAATATGCCTTCGATAGGAAAGGCAGGGATCAAAACAAATGGCCCCATTTGTCCACCCACCTACCCACCCACCCTAACCTCCATCCATCCTCTACCCCACCCCGCTCCCATCCACTCCCATTGTCTGCCCTTGGAGCAAAGGCCCAAGAACCCTCCTGAGCAGCCTGTCCTATGGGGGACAGGCCCTGACTATGGAGGACTTTGAAAAGGTGCCTTTCCTGCTGCAACCCCAGCTCGCTCGTCCACTGGGAGGGCACCACCCCACCCCACCCGGGGGCTCGACAGGAAGAGCAGGAGGCAGGATGGACTCCAGTGGGTTGTAAATTAGAGCCCCAGCTTCACCCAGGGTGCATTTCTGAGGCACTTGGGGGCCACAGATAGCGTTTCCAGGGTCTGAGGCAACAAACAGGACTCTGTAGGAGGGAGGTCAGCGGGGGGCAGGGTGAGCCTCAGGCTCTCGCAGGAACCTACTTCTGGAAAGTGTGCTGGGCCCAGGCCCGGTTTGCTCTGGCACTGGGCACTCTGCTTGGCAAATGAGGAGTAGCCTGGCTGTCATCAGGCACTGGGGGTCCAGCTCCCCAGCCACAGAGAGGCCAGGAGGCCAGGCCAGTGGGTAGGGGTGAGGCTGCCAGCTCGGCCTCCTCGTGCCACCTGCCTGGGTAGGTGCTGTGAACAGGAGGGTTTTAAGATTCCCCTGGCATTTATATCATCAACAAACAATTAAATTATGTTTGTTTAACTTTCTCTAACTATTCATTGGAGCAGTGGAAACATAGCTGACAGGGCTGACCAGCTCTGTGACTAGACAGGGCCTCACCCACCCAGCTCTGGAACTCAGTTTCCCCTGGCTAAGATGAGATCTCTGCATTTTGGGGGATTCTGAGGATGCCCCATTCCCAGCCCCTTTCCCTAGCAGGTGTGTGTGTATGTGTGTCACACACGCACACACGCACGCACGCACACACAGCACTGGGGACCACAGCACATTTCCTGGTGTCTAGGACATAGATGCATAAACCAGTGTCAGGAAGTATTGTCATTGTGTATATATCGGACATGTAGATGTGCTGGGCACACCAGTATGTGTGTGTGTTTGTGTGTGTGTTTTCAAGATAAGAGACTGACTGCTTGGTGCAGTCAGTGGAAAAAGAATGACAGAAACTGCTAACTCACTGTGTGACTCAAGAGGCCCTCATATGACCTTCTTGCACCTCAGTTTTCCCATCTGTGAAAGAGGTTTCTGTTGGAACTGCTCCTGCCCGCTGTGCCCTCAGCCCTGGGCTCTCACTGCTGGGCTCCCTTCATCCACTGAAGGATGGGAGTTGCCAGTCCACCTGCCATTTGCCTTTGGCAAGCACTGCTACTGGTGATGGCTGTGCACCCAGAATTCAGAACCCACCTCCCGAACGAGGCCGGATTCCCAAGTCTGTACAGAAAGCTAGAGGTGGAGGTACGACCACTGTGAGGCCTGGATCATGAGACCCCAACATGGCGCATGGGCAATTCTGTCCCCAGAGACCCAGCTCCCTCTGTGAGAGGTCTTGGAAATGAATCTGCAGGCAGGGGCCATGTGCAGGGTGGATGCCTGTCACAAACAGCCCATCCCAAGCAGGGCCCAGCTGGAAGAGATCCCTAAAATTCCCTCTGGAGACCTATGACCCAGCCCAAACTCCTAACCCTTGTTAAGAGAAGAAAGCTCCACAGAGGTCAGATGCTGTGGGGACAGTGAGTGCGGCAAGCCTGGTGGGTTGGCCATGAGTGCTCACAGGGGGCCAGAGGAACAAGTCCTGGGTGGCCTCAGTTTCCAAAATGTGACAGGAGTGGGACTGGATGCAGCATAAATACGTCTGGCACCTTTCTATCTTACTCACATAAGTCATCCCTGCTCTCCCTGAGGCCAGCCAGGCCATGCCTCTGGCTGGGACACACCACCTGAGATTTCCGCAGTTATCCAAGGCTTCCTCCGGTCTCCAAACCTCTGTACACACAGTTCCTTCCACAGGAAAGTCCTGTTCTCTACCTCCTCCTTTGTCTCACAATTCACCCTCACCTTTGAAAACACAACTCTGGTCCACCAGAAAGATACAATGGCAAATAGATAAGTTGCACGGAGCTCTCAGGACTATCTCTGAGAAGACTGGCTGGAATCCCCAGAGGACCTCCATTATCAAAATTCCAGGGAGCGAGAAGTAGTAGGGCAGTGTCAGAGGCGTGACCATGGGGGCTGGACTGTGGGAAGAGAGATGTGGAAGGAGAAAAGACCCTGAATGTTTTGATCACTTTTTCACTTAAGAATTAAAAGACACCATAAATGTCAAGCAGGGATAGCCCAGCATCCTTGCCCCACTGGTTTCTAGAAAGCTGGTAGCAAGGGCTATACCACAACCTCACAAATCAGAGATTCATCTCTGGGGAAAGTGACAGGTTCAAGAGCGAGGTCCTGGAGACACAGTGACTTTGGATCCAGTGCCAACTCCTGCAGTGAAGCCTCTGAGAAGATGAGCCTGCTGGGCTGTGGAGTTCAGCTCCCAGTATCTGACTATTAAATATGCAGAGATAGCCTCTAACTCAAAAGACAAAGACCAAAACAACAAAGAGGAAACAAGCAAACACAGGAAACAGAGACAATGAGAGGACAGAAGGAAACTTTAAAAAACAAAACAAAACTGTGATACCCTTAGAGAGATATGAGACATGACTGCATCCCTAAAGCACCAGGAAGTAATTTAAAAAGAACCATCAAAACACAAAAATATGCTCTTAGAAATGAAAAAAAAATAGCTGATATAAAACATTCAGTAAAGGATTGGATTTTTCTAGAAAGTTGCAGAAAGGAGGCTGAGAAAATTGAAGGAAAGAGATAAGAAAATTAGAGGCTCAGTCCAGAAGGTCCAACATCTGATTAATTGGAGGTTCTAGAAAAAGAGACCAGAGAAAATAGAAGAGTTTCAAAGAAGTGATCCCTAAAACAGAAGGGATATGAATTTT